ATCTTTCACATTCCTTTCTTAGATTCCTTATCTTTCCTTTCATTTTCTTTCTTATAATTAGTATCTGTCTTTCAAATTTCATTCTTATATTTCTTATCATTTCTTTTCTTTTCCTTTCTAATGTTTCCCTGTCTATCTTTCCTTTCTTTTCTCTTCTCATGTTTCCTTATCTTTCCTTTTCCTTATTCATCCTTAGTTTATCTTTCCTTTCCTTTTACTTTCTTATAATTATTTCTTATCTTTCTTTCCATTTACCTTCTTATGATTCCAAATTCATTGCTTTCTTTTCCTTTCTTATTATAATTATTATTATTTACAAGTTATGATTATGGCACCTCTAGATACCTACCGAACACTATTTACTTTTAATACATCAAATTAGAACAAGTGAAAAACACTTAAAAAAATTATTCTTACCCGGAAAAAAGTTGAGATGAATTCATATAAAAATGTTCAAAAGAAAAAAATGACTAGCATAGAGGTGGAAACTCTAGAGAGAGCGATGTATAGGCAAAATTCATAACCTGAAACCTCGAATAGAAGTCCAGGGCTTCTTCCTTGTAAATTAATAAATAAATTCTTGCTGTAAATTTTTATTAATTACTACAATGAGACAACAACAACATCATCATCTGTATGGAGTGTATTAACCCACGGCATTAAATTACCTTTAACTACTGTATACCATGCAATTAGCGTGTTTTTAATATATTTTGTTTCTTTGACAGTGTACCGGTATGTACTGTACTATCTTTTTTTTCGGGGCTACTTTTGCAAACTAAATAGGAGGCTTCAATTCGAGATGGGCTTCTTCTCGCGATTAAGCCCATTGGACTTCTATTCGAGGTTTTACTGTATGTGCTGTGTGAAAATACGGAAGCTACATGGCTAAAATTCAGATATGACATGATTATATATTAGGAAACAATAAAAAATTAAAAATATAAGAAATTATAATTTTTATATTTTTAGGTATTAGGCCTAATTGAAATTATAAAATGTCGCAAACATGGGCAATAGCTGAGAAATATTGTCAACTGTTGGGGTTCCTTTGGCGGGGATTCTTGATATAGGCCTATCAATTCTATTTTTTCCTGACATAGATAGGCCTAATGGAACTTTTCTCTAAACTGTTTACATAGGCATATCTATTAACTTCCCAATGAAAATATATCAGTAGAGAGCATATCTCCGCCCACTGCTAATCTCTTTCTATAAAAAAAAATGTCTCCTAACCACCATCTACTTAAAAAAATTACACAACACGACAGTTTCAATCAGATCAGTGAAGTTAGTACATAAAACGTTGTGTTCATCATATAGGCCTAGCTATTGTTTCTGCCATACGGTAATACTGTAAACATATTCTATAAATGGTCCTCATATCCACACTGGATACACCGGATCGTGACCAAAATTGAAGCACTTCTTTATTAAAACAAGACAAACTATTCTGCCAATAGTCATTTTTATCCTTCATCCATTTTCAGATATTCAGGTCTGAGATTTAATGGCCCTTATATATTGTAATCCATTCGTACGGGTTACTAATTCTTTTGTACGGATTACTAATTCATTTGTACGTACGAACGAATTAGTAATCCGTACAAACGAATTAGTAATCCGTACAAACGAATTAGTAAGGCATACAAACGGATTAGAAATCTGTACAAACGAATTATTAATCCGTACAAACAAATTGGTAATCAGTACAAACGAATTAGCTGTACAAACAGATTATCAATCCGTACGAACGGATTACAATACTTGATTGGCACGAATAGGCTTTCGTACATCTCCCATTAGTTTTTATTTATTTATTTATTTTTAATTTAGGACTCCTTCTGATTCCGCCTATGTTAAACGCATTCATTACTGATAAGGTACATAATGATTAGCAATAAGATGTTTATCATGTAAAAAAAAAAATAATGGAATCATGAAAAATTTGTGTAAAAATATGGCGGACTCCTACGTTTTTCGCGGATCCCCTGCGGACCCTTGTAACAATCCTAATAAGGATGACCGATTGATGTATGTCATATCTCAGCCCAGTGTAAGTTGGTGGTGTACTCAAAATGGGCATTATCACAAAAGTATAGAATATAGTGAAATTGAAACATAATCCACATCAATGGCGGTAGAGGAAATGTCCCCACCTTTCCTTTGGGCCACCTCCCTCCAACCTGACTCCGACGTCACGACTAGGTCGTCGGACCGATATTCAAAACGTTAGTTTTTATTTGATTACTAATTCCTAATATTATTGTGGTCTAAATGCAAGAGGAGAAGAAGGAATAGGCTGTTTGGTAAGTACCGTGACAAATGTTTGTTTTTATCCGACGTGAATTGTAATCTGTTACAATTTTTAGAGTTCTTGTGACTGCCAAATCGCTCGTAAGTATTTTGTTGTTCAGCTTCCTCGAGAGAGGGGGCTTCTTTGCTTTTGTAAAAATCTTGCTTTGCTTCACATTCAGTGGTACACAATTCACCCCTGTATATGGGTCACTACATCAGGTCGGGATGCGGGGAATATATCCTAATGCAGCTAATTCAATTCAATTGTATTGTGTAATCCAGTGATTTTTTTGCTGGACTACTAATTAAAGTCATTAGGTTAGTCATTTTGTAATAAAATATTGTAATTTATAGTATAATATGAAATCCACTGATATGTAATTAAAACTACAAAAGTTGTATATTTTCCATATATTGTTTCTTGATTTGAGTGCAAAGTTAATGAACAAATATTTAATTTTAAAGTATTTTTTTTATTCATAGGAGAATAGCATCAGTGGCGTCACGCTCGGGCGCTGAGTGCCGGGAGGCGGATCGTCAGGGCCCCGGGCACGAGGGGCCCCGAAATAATTGTAGTTTAAAAAATATATATATAAACTATAAAATACCATTGTTTCATTCAATGACCCCCCGACAGTTTTAAACAATAAAAGCTGGGTTCTGATGTTTGACATTAATTGTTCTGATTTTGTGATCAATCTGCTTTACATCGTGGCCTGTATACGTTATGAAAACATGTTTAGTTTCTCACAAAATATTCTCTGTATTTATTTACACCTACATAGAGTACATATGCCTACTGTAGGCCTATACCAGCTCCTAAAGTTGGCCTATGTAATCTATGTTAGTTTTGTTATAAAATTGTCTGAAATATTTCGTCAGTCATGGAACATTCTATGTTCTCTGTTAACTCAGTTAACAGTTCATAAATGACATAAGCTCTGAGCGCAAAGACCAGAGTACCTACCAACATAAATATACACTAACTTACGGGATAGAGTCTACGCCGCTCAGCTCTGATCGAGCTGACTCTAAAGTGAGACCGGGGGCTGCTGTCTCAATCGAAGTTGAATTAAATTAGTTGGATGGAGAGTTTTTTTTTTTTAAAGATTTAGGCCTATGCTGGATGAACACCCAGGCCCATGTTTGGTCGACATTTGATGGATTCTTTCCTCGTATTTGGATTGTAGAGATCTGATTTCTGGACTATGCCTGACTGGAATCTTCGTTTGCGGCTATACTGTACTACATTTGGAACATCGCTACCTCGGAATTGGTTTCATCTAATTTCGCTATTGAAAATTCGAACATTATTTTTTTTGGACAGTTAGCTTTGAACAACTATCTTTAATACTGGAGCTCATTGGACGCAATCGATCTCACGTGAATAATTGTTAGGTTAGTTTAAATTCCCCTTTATTATCTCAATTTGTAATCCCACTTTTTATAGGCCTATTAAATATTAAGTAGTATTTAAACAGAAATTATTTTGTAGTTTTCATTTATGGTTGCATAGCTTCTATTGACTGAGCAGCGCGTAACTGGAACCTGAGCCACGATGAGTTAAGTGACTGTTTGCTTACTAAAAG